GTTAAGCCTCTGCCTTCAGCTCCGGTCATGGTCTCTGGGTCCTGGGATCGAGCCCCGTGTCGGGCTCTCTGCTGGCCGGGGAGCCTGCTTCCCCGCACCCTCCCCCGTCTCTCTCCCTACTTGTGATCTCTCTCTCTCTGTCAAATAAATAAATAGAATCTTTAAAAAAAAAAATGAACTACTGTTGGGTTTGAAGCCTACCACATGCAACTTAGGCTTTTAACCACAATCTTTGTTCTTTAAAAAAGTGTAATTTGTTGCTAATAATTAAAAAACAAGATACTTATTTTCAGATGATCTGGATTAAGATCCAGCAGGTGGGTGCAGCTGAGTTTTGTCTCCATGGGCATCCATGCTCCAGCCTAGGAGAGGCTGGAGACACCTGGCTTAGTTGCCGCATTTTTTTATTCCCTGGAGTCACCTGCAGGCATTTGAGTCCGTGGTCACGGAAGGTTTTCTGCAGTAGGCTGAATGGTGGCCCGCAAAGGAGAGCCAGGTCCTAATTCCTGGAAACTGTGAGTGTTAACCTTAGATGGCAAAACAACAACAACAACAAAACAAAAAAAACCCGTGCTTTTGCTGATGTGTCTAAATGAAGGCTCTTGAGGAGGAGAGAATCCTGGGTTATCCAGGTGTGTCTTATGTAACCACAGGTATCCTTATAAGAGGGAGGCAGAGGAAGACTTGAACCCAGGAACAGAAGGTAGGCAGTGACTGAACTAAATGCTACACTGCTGGCTTGGAACATGGAGGCACGAACCACAAGCCCAGGAACGCAGCTCTAGAAACTGGAAAAAGCAGGAAGCAGAGTCTCTTCAGGGGGAAGCACGATCTTGCCAACCCCTTGGTTTTAGCACAGCATGATAGCCTTGTAGACGTTTTAATTTATCCCACTATTCCTCCCTACCTTTCTGTTTTGGGCAACTCTGCCTCCCCATTCCATGTAGTCCTGGAAACTGAGCCCATTACAAGCTCCCACTCTTCAAGGAACGAGACCGTTCTGATGATTTTCTGGGGTACTGGTTCTCAAACTGGATTGTGGATCAGAAGCACCTAGAGGGATTGTTAAAACACACATTTTTGGGGTTGCACCCCCAGAGTTTGACTCCATGGTCTGGGCTGAGGATTTGCACTTTCGTAACAGGTTCCCAGGTGATGCTGGTCAGGGGACCTCACTGGGAAGTTCTGCTCTGGGAATTTGAGTCTTAGAAGATAGAAGACAGGTGGTAACATCCAAAACTGATGGCTAATGACTGCCTATTGTGAAATCTCTGAATCTGATCTGATTCTGGGCATTCTGAGAACCTCATTATTTTTCATTTTAACCTTGTGAGCCATTCTGAGTTCCGTTGCTTCTTGCTCAAACTAGCAAGACTTGCAACCAAAGAATTTTAATGGCTTGAATTTGCAAGGAACACATGATACAGAAAAAAGGTAGGTCTTGCATGGAACACCAGACTTATAGAGCATATTTTGGATGCAATCTCTGCCGGCCAAGACTTATTAGTACGGACCCTAACCAGCATTTACTGAATGCCTACTGTGTCCCTTATAGGTGGTAGGAGTTTTATAAACCTCTATTAGCCTTACAGTCACTCTGAAGGGAGGGTACTTTTTCTAATTTTTCATTTGAGGAAATGGGAAGCCCAGGAATTTACTATTGGAAAGATAAAATCAACATCAATATTGTCAGTGAATGGTAGACAATACTGAATAGAGAATGGTATCTTCCTTCCTCTTGGTGTATTTTCTTTTTCTTTGTTTTTCCCCCTCCACTTTCTCTGGATGATGAAGGGCCGCATTAGCCTACCTGCATTGCCCCTGTAAAAATCCTTTTAAAAGGACCAGAGGAAACAATGGTGTTTTTTGTTTTAAAATTTTTAAAAAAGATATTTAATTTATTTGACAGAGAGAGAGATCACAAGTAGGCAGAGAGGCAGGTAGAGAGAGAGAGGAGGAAGCAGGCTCCCTGCTGAACAGAGAGCCCGATGCGGGACTCCATCCCAGGACCCTATCATGACCTGAGCCGAGGGCAGAGGCTTTAACCCACTGAGCCACCCAGGCGCCCCTGCTTCTTGTTTTAAATCTTAATCAGGTGTTTTAAAAATTATTTTGGCTGAAATTAGATGGTCTATAAACTACAGAGCTATCAGAAAAGCCATATTTGGGTTTTTGACTCATAAGTAGATAAAACAAAATTGACCCTTGGAATTCCATTAAAAAAATAGCTAGTATGAAGCAGAATGTAAGCTAAATGTTCTGAGGAGAACGGCTCATTGTTTTTATTACAAAAGGAATACTTACTGGACTCTTCCTATGCCCCAGGTCACATCCTCTGAACTTCCCTTTTACTTCATCATTGCTGTGGTAATTGACTTTGTGCATGGGTAACAGGACAGTCCCTCCCATTAGCTGCCTCCAGTAATTCTTGCTTTTTGCCCCAGGGCATCTCTGCTTCCCTGGGGTGGGACATAGGTAACAACTCATTTACTTAAACTCAGCTTGGAAGTTAGAGATTATGAAAAATTCTTTCCTTAACCCTTCTCTAATGGAGGATGGGTGAGTGCGTAAAGTCTCCTTTCCTCCATTTCTGATCTCCTAGGAGGACAGTCCTGCAGTGTCTTCTTCAAGGCTGCTTGGAAGGTCTCTGTGGGTTGGAGTGTAGGTAGCCCACAGCGGGACGAACTCAAAATGCCCTTTGGATTAGCTGTCCCTCCTACCCTGTTCACTCCTCCCTTGGTATCCCACTCCTATTCTCTGTAATCCCTGGTACATTAGCTACCTGCAAGCCCAGGTCTCAGGCTCTGCTTTCTGGGGGAATCTGGGGTAGGCTAACATTCCTTGTAGAAAATTAGCGTGTTTTTTTTTTTTTTTAAGATTTTATTTATTTATTTGACAGATATAGTGAGAGAGGGAACACAAGCAGGGGGAATGGGAGAGGAAGAAGCAGACTTTTTCATTGACCTGAACTGAAGGCAGACGCTTAATGACTGAGCTGCCCGGGCGCCCCGAAAATTTAGTGTTCTTTTTTTTTTTTTAAGATTTTATTTATTTGTCAGAGAGAGAGAGAGAGAGAGCAAGCACAGGCAGACAGAATGGCAGGCAGAGGCAGAGGGAGAAGCAGGCTCCCTGCCGAGCAAGGAGCCCGATGCGGGACTCGATCCCAGGACACTGGGATCATGACCTGAGCCGAAGGCAGCTGCTTAACCAACTGAGCCACCCAGGCGTCCCTAGTGTTCTTTTTTTTAAATCTGTATATTCTAACCCATAATCTGGCCCTCTCTAGAGAGCTCTTCTGCATATGTACTTAAAAAAAAAAAAACAGTATGGCATCGTACTGTATGTTGTGTCCTGGCTTTCTCTTGTTAGGTTATATTTTCATGTGATTAAATTTTCTCCATGTAATATTTAATAGCTACACAGTATTACATTAATTCATTATTTATAGAGCAGCTACTGTGTCCCAGGCATTGTTCTGAGTGCTAAAGACCTAGCAATGGACAAACAGATCTGGTCTCCGCTCTTAAGGAGCTGATGTTCTGGTTAGGATCTCTCTTACATTCTAATGGGGGCAAAATTTATCTAACCAGCGGCCTACTGTCAGTTATTTAGATCGCTTCCAATGTTCAGTATTACAAACAATGCTCCACTGCCATCCTTGACGGTATTCGTTGAATTCATCCTCCGGTTTCTTCTCTTAGGATAAATTCCTAAAATAGAATTGCTGGAAGAAAGGCAATGAGAGTAAATGAGGGTGCCGGGATTCCCAACTAGGTTTTTCTGTCTTGATTCTGGGGCTCTGGCTGTTGATCACCATGCTGTTACTATCCCTGCACTGAAAAACCCTGGTAACTAAGGTAGCCATATCGTTCCTAGCTGACTTAGGCATATAGGCTGTATGATTAGGTTAAGGTCGGGTCTGGAGTGGGGGGTGGGGGGGAATCCTGAGTCTGCACATTACCAGCTGTGGGTTTTTCTGTGTGTGTTTTAAAGCTCAGTTTCTTCATCTGTAAAGTGGGGACAATAGTTGTCATCTGAAGGGGTCGTTAGTAAATACGTATGGAATGCCTACCAATCTCCAGACTCCAAGCTAAGAATGGATAGTCCAGGAGGAAAGGGAGCTACTAATAAGCAATTACATGAATCCAAAATCACAAACTGTGTTTTGTGGTATGAAGTATGAGATGCTGTAGGGATGAATAAGCAGGTGACCTTATTTTGGGGGTGGGGCACGAGAGATGGAGGGGAGATTAAGGGAGGTGTGAGCTGAGCTAGGAAAGATGTGTAGGAGTTAACCGGGAGTGGGGGCGGGGGGAGATTTGAAAAATTCCCGGAGGAGGGAACAGCAGGTTCAAAACATTTGGAAGATGGAATACGATTGTACGCCATTTCTTTCCCCATCTCACTGCAGTTCCTTTTGGAAGTGTCTTCTGAGATCTTTCCACGCCTGGCTTTTCTCCTCATTAAGCTCTTGGTTCAGAGGCCGTTGCAGAGATGCCTTCCCTGAACATCCCTCCGAAGGTCAGTCCCCATCCCCACCCTGTGCCTTACTTTGTTACCTTGTTTTATCAACAGCTACCACTAATTCACGCCTTCATATTCGTTTTTTTGAACGTGGTCTTCCTCCCCCGCCCCCCAACGTGAATGGAAACCCCATGAAGGGAGAGCTATTAGGAGGGGGCGGGGACAGGGGCCCAGATTTAAATGCTGAATCTTCAGCGCCTGGCGTCCAGTAGGTGCTCAATGCAGATTTGACCGAAGAAACGGTGCTTGGCGCCAAGTCCGCGCTTGACAAGAGCCGCAGGCGGGTAAGAGGAGAGGCTGGGCGCGGAGTGAGGCCACAGACCCGGGTCTGGGGCGCCGCGAGGCACCCGCGCGAGGGGACCGTTCGAGGGGCGCGCCGGGGGCGGGGCCGCCGACCCGGAACCCGAGTGCGGCGGTGGCGCGGATTTCCGGCCGCGGCGGACACTTCCCGCGGAGGGACTGTCCCGTGGCTGCCGGCGGGCCGAGGAGGACGCGGAGGGCCGGGAGCGGCGGCGATGGACGACCACAGCCTGGACGAGTTCCGCCGGCGCTGGCAGGAGGAGCTGGCGCAGGCCCAGGCGCTCAGGAAGCGGCGGCGGCCCGAGGCTGCCGAGCGGCGGCCGCGGCGGGCCGAAGTGGCCCCCGGGCGCGGCGAGCAGGCCTCGGGATACCTGGCTCTGGCCCAGGGCCTCCTGGAGGGTGCGGGGCGGCCCCCGGCGGCGCGGGCGACCCGGGCAGAGAGGCAGGACGCGGCGAGCCGTTCCCGTTCCCCTCCGGCTCGCGAGGTTGCCGGGGGCGGGGAGCAGCTGGTGGACCAGCTCATCCGCGACCTGGTGAGTGGCCGTCACCTCCTGCCGAGGTCCGAGCCTGCCCCTGCCCCCGCTACCCGCCCCCCCCCCCCCCCCCGCCCCGCCAATGACTCGGAAAGTGCGTGCCACCCTATGTCTGTGCAGGCATAGAGTGTCTCTGGAAGGGTTGGTCCTCACTCTGCGGTGACTTTGTTCGCCCATCTTGGCAGTGTCTGCAGACCTTTTTAGGATGCCACAACTGGGTTGGGGGAGTTGCTACAGGAGTCCAGTGGGTAGAAGTCTGGGACACTTCTAAACGTCCTACAGTGCAGGGACTGCACCCAGAGAAAATGATCCAGCCCAAAATGTCAGTATCTGTTTGAGAAATCCTGCCCTTGAACTCTTAACAAGGGTTGTCTTTAGGGAGGAGGCTCAGGGCAGGGACAGGAAGCGATTTTAACTTTGTTCGGTATAATGCTTGTACTACTCAGTTTTTTCCCAACAGTACATGTATTTAAGAGCAGGGGAAGCAAAATCCTTTGGGCACTGTCATTAACATGGAGGTTCTTATCACTTCATGGGCATGGATCCTTTTGAGAATCTGGAGACACCCCACTCCCCACCCACCAAAAAACAAAACAAAACAAAACAAAAAAAAAAACCTTTACAAAGTTGGCAAAGTCGGGATCATCTAAAACACATCCATGGTTAAAGGTTAGGATAATACAGGAGGTTTTAATGGTTTGATTTATTGGGGGGGGTGCGCATAGAGGAAGAGAATCCTTAAGCAGACTCCCCACTGAGTATGGAGGACCTTGCTGGGCTAGTTCTGCTGAGCCCAAGTCAAAAGTCTAGAGTTGTTGCTTTAATGACTGAGCCACCCAGGTGCCCCTGGTTAGATTTAAATTAGGTTTAAAGACGGCTTCTACAGTTTCCCAGTTCAGTGTAATTCTGTAATTGGCAAGTTGTTTCTAAAAACAATGGCTTATTTAACGTGTTGTTTTATTCAAATAACATTAATAGCTATAGGAGTTTCCACAAAGTTTCTGGTTTACCTCTAGGGTTGGGACCTTCTTCTGTGTATATTATAAACTCATTTAATGTGACAATTCTTATATGTATGAGAATTCACACTGGTATCCTGTCTGCTTCTGTAAAAAGTGGGTCATCACTGAGGAAGTCTGGCAGACGTAAAAATCTTTCAATGCCTTGGGAAGGTGGTTTAGCACTGGAGAAATTGCTCAGGCCAGTCCAGATCTATGCAAAAGTTACTCCCATGGAAGCAGATGTGTAGGTAAGGCTCGCAGTGGTAGAGGGAAATTGGAAAGTGAATTGTTAGGACAAGGACACACTCGGGGCCTCACAGCAAAATTCCAACCTGCTGAGTGTGGCAGTGTCTTCAGACTTCACAACTATCCTGAGAAGTCAGTATTGTTAGTCTCCTTTTATGAATGAGGATATTAAGAGGTTTTCTGTAATTGCCCCAGGGATGCCTTGCTGATAAGTTCTGGCGGTTGAATTTGGATCCAGGTGTGTTAGGCTGTAAATTTCCCAGATAGTAGTTTTGCAAACTTGGTGTAAAATCCCCTTTAGCCTTCTTAAAAGATAGGTTCTGGTGTGTCCCTAGATCTGCTTAATCAATATCCCAAGGAAGCTCAGAAATGTGATGGTTGGGATGGTCAAACAAATTTGAGACTTTGTTCTCTGCTGTACAGCTTCCTTTGGTTTATAGTCTTGACTTTTCAAGACTTTCTGGCTCTGATACTCCTGAGGGATAGGCATTGAGACCAAAAGTAGTGGAGCCCTTAATGAAGTCTAGAAGTGGAAGGGGCCTGCCTACTGTAGGATCCAAAGGGTACATCAGAATTACAGTTAGGAAAAACCTGCTCTGGAATGGGTGCCCATCATCTCCGCTGTCTGCAGAATCACCACGTTAGATGCTGTTGGGCTCTGCATCCTATGACCAGCATCCAACCTTTGCTTGCTGCTTTTTTTTTTTTAAAGTACTTTGCAATCATCAACACGGCTATAAATAAAATTACTCTCAGTCTCCTTGGTACTGCCTTAAGGGTTTAAAGATCTTATCTTCTTCAGTTCTCCCAACAGTGATATCTCCGGTGGCTGCTCTTTGTCCCATTTGACAGATGATTAAGAAAGTAATTTTGAGGGGCAGTCAACCTACCCAGTATCCTGAATGTGAGAAGTGATGGTAACCTTTACAGAAAAGGTTTAGATTCACATATCGGTGGTTTTAAGCCCCAGAGCCTAGAGGTCATGCCTGATCTCATGCAAATGAGTAAGGCAGCCTCGGAGTGGCTCATTCTGTCCTTTTCCCTAGTTCATGAGGTGTTTCATTATGTATCTTTCTGTATTGCTTTAACTCATGGTTATCTTTTTTTTTTTTTTTTTTAAATACTCTTTAACACCTGTCTTGGGTCTTGAACTCACAGCCCAGAGATCAAGAGTCGAATGCTCCGGGCACCTGGGTGGCTCAGTTGTTAAGCATCTGCCTTTGGCTCAGATCATGATCCCAGAGTCCAGAGATCGAGGCCCACATTGGGCTCCCTGCTGGATGGGAAGCCTACTTCTCCTTCTCCCACTCCCCCTGCTTGTATTCCCTCTCTCTCTGTGTCTCTCTCTGTCAAAAAAAAAAAAAAAAAAAAGTCTCATGCTCCAGTGACTGAGCCAGCTGTGTGCCCCATCATGGCTATTATTCTTTTTGCCACATTAAATATTAAAGATGACAGTTTAGGAGTTGCCTTCATGATATCCCTAAAAAATACGGAACCATTTTTTTTTTTTTTTAAACCTAGCCGCCTTGGTCTTTCTTTTCTGCTTTTAAAATTTCTTTAGATCAGACCCTGTATAAAATCATAAATGTCCAGGTTGGTGAGTTTTCACAAGTGTACACTTCCATGTAAAATAGCACCCAGATTTCAGAACCGCATTCTCAGCTTGTCAGAACCCCCATGTGTTCTCACCTGACTTCTAACACCTTATTTTAATTTTGTCTGGTTTTGAACTATAAGTAGAATCCTACAGCATGTGTTTGCTTGTGACTGGGTTCTAGCACATAGCATTATGTGTGAGATTCATCTCTGTGAATATGTCACGTTTTATTCTTTTGGACATTCTTGATAACTAGTTTCACAGCTGGTTTGGGACTCTGGGGAGTCGTGCTGCGAACACTTTGCATATCGTTTGGAACCTTGTACTCCTTTTTCTTAGGTATATAGCTAGTTGTGGAATTGCTAGGTCATAGGTATGCAGATGTTCAGCCTTAGTAGATGCTGACAGTTTTCTAGTGTGGTTATAATGGCTTTCCCACATGATAGTCACTCAAGTATGTAGAATACAGTATTTCACTTTCTTCTTTGCCATAAATATAACAGCATCTAAACGAGGTGACCTATGGCAACTGAACTTGACCTCAGCATGGGCGAGATGAGAAGGTGATAAATTGGGGGATACCCACGGGAGCTGGGCTAAAGGTGGGAGCCACTGCCCAGCTCAGCTGGTTGTTGCCTTGCAAGAATGTAGTCCCAGTGTGGCAGAGTCTATAGGTTTTTGTTTTGTAATTGGGAATGTTTATTTTTATAGGGACTCCATCAGTTTTTGCCACACAGAAAACACTCAGGACTTTGGCTTAAAACACCACCATTTAGGGGCGCCTGGTGGCTATTTAGGTGGCTCAGTCAGTGAAGCGTCTGCCTTTGGTTCAGGTCATGATCCTATGGGTTGGTCAGGTCAGGCTCCTTGCTCAGTGGGGAGTCTGCTTCTTCCTCTTCCTCTCCCCCTCCTCCTGCTCATGTGCGCGCTCTCACAAATAAAACAAAAAACCCCACCACTACTTAGTTCACTGTTTTGCAGGGTGGCAGTTTGGGCTGGGCATGGGTGGGTCCACTCAGATATCTGAGGTTAGCTGCTGGTGCTGCCCCTGGGGGCTGGCGAGCCGCTGGGGGTGTGTATGTGCTTGCTCTATGTCTCCTCCTACAGGTGAGCCCTGAATGGGCTTTCTCAGGGCTGCAAGAGCAGCAGGAGGGCAAGCTCTGATGCCCAAGTGCTTTGAAGTCTGCCCAGGTCATGTTTGTTACTGTCACGTCTGCCAGAGAGCCAGATGGCCAAGTCTAGAGTCAGGGCGGAGTCACCCACTGCCTGGATACGGGGAGGAATGAACAAAGTAGTGGCCATTAATACTGTCTATCACTCAAATTCTTCCCATTTTTAACTGTTGGTAACTAATGCAAAAAAAAAAAAAAAAAAAAGATGTTTTTAAGTACTAACACCGTGAGTTAAATGAAATCTTCTGTGGGCTGGGTCTGTGCTGGGTCCTGAGTTTGTGTTCTTTGCGTTTGTTTTCCCAAGACTCCTCACTTGATCTGTGGCTGACACCTATGGAGGAAGATTTTAGTCCTACCTGAGACTCCACAGAAACTCTCACAGGCTGACCACTTGACATGAGGGAGAACTATAAATCTGGTCCCACGTCCTAACGTCCCCTCTCTTCTGGGTGATGTCCCCCCAGTCCCTGGTGTGCTCTCTTGTGCCAGTGCGTTCTGTTGTGTTGTATTTGATGCAGCCTCCCCCCCCCCCCCCCCCCCCCGCCCCGGGAGCCTGTAGTGTCCTCACTGGAGTGAGATCCAACTAGTAGGTTGGCAGTCAGGAGTTAGTTCGCCTTCAGAGGAGTGGGTGAACGGCACCGCGCTGGAGTGTCATCTGGCCGGGTGCCGGCCGGACTGGCAATGGACAAGCACAGCTGAGATGAAAACTTGAAAGTGACTCCTCTTGGGCCTCGTCTGGTCTTAGAAAGCTTTAAGTAATACCACTGAGAAGCCATGTGTGTTTAGGTGACAAATGGGGACACCTAAACTGTCTCTTTAGTACATGGTTTTAACTAGTGAAAAAAATCGCTATAGCCCTGGAAAGATTTTCAGAGGCATGAGGCACTTTTCTTCCGACATTTCTCTCTCTCCCTAAACTCCAGCTTTTCAGAGGTGGGGGGTGCACTTGAGCATAATTGCAAGGATTTCTTTGCCTGATACGTG